TTTCCGCTAATTGTCTAACCAAATTATTTAAATTCTTTGAGCTTACCTCCCTCATCCGCTGAAAAATATAAGAAAAAATATCTATCTCATGCCGTTGAAGATTAAAAATGGAATTTTGTGTATATATAGGGCCAAGCACAATAAAATCCAAGCACGATAAACAAGATGAGGCTGGCAGCAAAGTGTTTGCTGTTGACCATACAGGAGTCAGTGCAAAGCACATCAGATTGGCTACAGCGTTTAAGCACCTCCCAAAAATCCTTTTTCAGATAATTAAAACTTTACAGAAAGAATTATAAAACCCTGATATTTGGGGTCCTGGCCGGTAAAATGTTTTCAAAAAAAAAAAAAGGGCCGCTGGGTTCTGCCTCAAACTGTAATCCAGCAAAGATCACCATGGGTTCAGACCGCCACTGACCAACATGTAGAAACGCTGTCTCTGACTAAATAATACAAAATTAGCTGGATGTGGATGTTGATTTACGCATGTAAGCCCCAGGGCTACTCGGTGAGGCTGAGGCAAGAGAATCGCTTGAACCCAGGAGGCGGAGGTTGTGGTGAGCGAGATTACCACCACTGCACTCCAGCCTGGGCAAAAACAAGTGAACTTCCTTCTCAAAAAAAACAAAAAAGCAGAACATCAAAACCTCTGGGGGGAAGAAATGTCTCTTACTTTATTGGCCAGTGTGTTTCTCCAACAGGGAGGAGAAACTTAAGAGGCAGCTGGTGATCCACCAGTTTGTCCGTCCAGGCCAAACATTCCTGACCCCCAGGAGATGACATAGGTGGCAGGTGGGGGGGCATAATTCTCTACCCTCAGAGAAGTCTGAGGACAAAAAGGCTTAGACAGTAAAGGAAAAAGACTTTTTTGCAACCACCTTTCCTCAGCCACGTCTGGGATGCCAAAAAATGTTGCAAAACTCTCCCTTAGTTCTGCAAACGGTTCTTGTTCACATGACCAGAAATACCTGAACACATAAAAGAAACAAATGCTATTGGAGAAAAGGAAGAGAAGAACTTCGCAAAGTGAGATGAAGTCCTGCTAACAAGCCCCTACTCACCGATTGATTCCCAGGTCACCAAGTGAGCTAAAGAGATCAGGCTCTCCCCTGCATAAGGCGTTGAGTTCGCCCCTGGCTCCACCATTTGCCCCCAGGTGGTTCATGGTCCGGGCTCCAGTCTGGTGTGTGGGATACCCAGGAGAAGCCAGGGCACGGTTTCACTCATCTGGTACAAAGCATGCAGATGGTAAACAGCTTGTAGCAGGTCAGGAGATTGCTCTGGGGACGCGTTTTTCTCGTGCCTAGGGCATTTGGCTATCTCAGTAGCTTTGGGTAGGAATCTGCGGTGAAAGCTCGTTGCATTTTTTCTCCCAGTAAACTGCAAATGCACTATACAGCATGTTGCCTACAGTTTCAGGGTATATTTCCGTGCTCTGCTTAAAACAGTTAAGAACCCATGTGATTTAGGAAGGACTGTGTTGTTAGGCAAACCCAAACCTGCGCATTGACTTCTGCAGTTTAGTAAGAGTTATCTTTGGATAATCTTAAGTTGATGAAAAAGTAAATAATACTGCTTTATGTACGTACTGGAAGCTTCAGTAAGATAGCACATATATACAAAGAACAATATGCAAAATAAAATTACAGTGTTTTAATTACAGACAAAAAAGAGAGAATAACTAAAGTTGCTGGGAGAGCCTAAAATTGAACACTAAAGGTTAATAAATGGCATTATGATTGCAAACTTCACTACTAAAATTTATCTGCAATGGCGAATGCTAGGGAAGAGGCTGGCTGGTCTGGGTTTCTGATACCTGCTAGCACTGGAGGAAATCACTGAAATTGATTATTCTCGTCAGGTATCAGGGCATCCATCTTGGCCTCTGGTTTTATCCTCAAAATGCATGTATAAAAAATAGGACAATATTCACATTAAGTGAAAAAAATATCCAATAAGTTGCCATGATTGACTTATATTGCATTGTTTCTTTCAAAAAATTTTCTTTCTAAAATATTTCTAAATGTGCTTTACATTTTATTTTATTTATATATTTGGCAATTAAAAGTTAGCGTTTTGGGCATGCACTTTCCTCACAAATCATCATACTTCGAATCAAAAAATACGATACACAAAAGAATTAGATTTGACTGGGTTAATGGATAATGTGAAGGTCTGAAGTATTCCAAGCTGGAGTTTTGTAATCTGCAAATTTACTACATTGAATCAGTATCGTTGGCTTTTTCTTCTTATATTTCTTTTTCTTTTCTTTTATAATGTGGTCTCCTGCTCTGCCTGTGTTGGATCTGCTTCTCGGCAGCTGTGTAATGGGGGCTCCAGGTCACCGAGTTGGGTCCAAAGGTTGTATCAGATGTGGCGCAGTTTGGATGAAGCAATGATCTCATACATCTTATATGGGGCCCTCTTGGTGGAACATCCATCAAACGGGGTATGGACAGCAAATGGATGGGTTTCGTTCAATTGCTTGGGTCCTTATTGCATATTTAACAATGGGGAACTTGCCCTATGGATATGCAAGGAAAAATGAATTATTAATAGTTAGGAAGGTGTAGCCAAATTGTAACTTTTCATGAGACTTTTCAATACTAGCGGTAATTTGCTTTAAAATAAGCATGTAAATTTCCCCACTTTCTCTTTCTGGTTGTTTTGGTGGTGGATGGAAAGATAGCCATGCAGGGACCTTCAACAATTTGCACAAGACCAAAAACACAAACCCGCCATCAAACACACAGTTGCTGTGAATGCGGAACAATACACATTCTTCTGACAAAAAGAAGAGGACTCCTCAAAGTTCGTTAGAAACTTTTAGGTAATGAAAAAAAATGAATTTCAGTTTGTGTTTATAGAGCTCTGACTCAGATTTAGTACTAGTATACTTCAAAGCCATCTCAAGTACTATGATACACTACTCTAAGTCACTATTTCTTACTACTGTTGATTCTAAATGACCAAGCTGTTTCCAAAAAAGAAACTATCTTCAAAAGATGAATATTTGCCTATATTGAAGATCTTTAAAAGTCTGGCAAAAGGGTGTGGAAACCATTTCTCAAGAAAACTTCCCCAAACTGAAGCTTCTCAAGGTGATTATTTTGAAATGATTCTCAGATACTTGATATATAAATTCTGATTCATTTATTTTTTTTTAAATTTTTTTTATGCGGGGTGCAGTGGCTCACGCCTGTAATCCCAGCACTTTGGGAGGCCGAGGCCGGCAGATCACGAGATCGGGAGTTCAAGACCAACCTGGCCAACATGGTGAAACCCCATCTCTACTAAAAATACAAAACATTAGCCGAGTGTGGTGGCGGGCGCCTGTAATCCCAGCTACTCAGGAGGCTGAGGCAGGAGAATCACTTGAACCTGGGAGGCAGAGGTTGCAGTGAGCCGAGATTGTGCCACTGCACAGAGTGAGACTCTGTCTCAAAAAAAAAAAAGGGGGAAGGGTATAGTTATTTCACCATGAAGTATATTTGTGTTAGGTTTTTTGTAGATAGCTTTTTATGAGTTGAGGACTTTCTCTTAAGTTTCTGGTTTCCTGAGAGGTTTTTTTTTTTTTTTTTCCATGATTGGGTGTTAAATTTTGTCAGATACTTTTTCTTCCTCTGTTTTGAGAGGATCATACAATTCTTATATTTTATTCTGTTAATATGATGAAGTACATTGATGTTTCCAATAGTGAACCTACTCCTTGGTCATGCGATATTATCTTCTTGAAATAGATCTGGATTTGTTTGGCTAATAACTTGCTAGGTATTTTCACTTGTATGTTCACGAAGGCTATTGGCCCATGACTCTGTTGTGATGCCTTATTCTGGTTTTGCTGTCAGGGCATTGCTGGCCTTGTCAATTGGGAAACATTTTCTTCTTCTCTAGTTTCTGCTTGTGTAGCATTGGTATTATTTATTCCTTTAATGTTTAATAGAATTTAACAATGACTATGTGAAGCTCTGTTTTTGGGTGTGTATGCTACATTTAGGATTGTTCTTGATGCTCTTGATATGTTCTTGATGAACTGGATGAATTGACCCCTTTATCTTTGTGTAATGTCTTTCTTTACGACTGACAATATTCCTTGTTCTGGAGTCTCCTTATTCTACTATTAATATAGCCATCCCATATTTATTATTAATATTTGCATATCTTTTTTATCCTTTTACTTGTATCGTCTTTATCGTCAGTGTGTTTTCTGTAGATAGCATATAGTTAAGGGTGGCCTTTTTTTTCTTTCCAAATCCCAAGAGCCTGTGAAAGGAGTTGCTGTTTTATCCATCTGTCAGTCTCTGCATTCTAACTGGAGTGATTAGAACATTTATTTTTAATGTAAATATTAATATGATTGGTTTGGTTTAAATATATCTAGCTACTTTTTTTTCTATTTGTTTTTCTCTTTGTTGCATCTAGTCTTCTTTTTTTCTTGCCTTATTTTGGATACATTGAGTATTTATTAAACATTCTGTTTTATCTCAAGTGTTGGCTAATTAGCCATCTCTCTCTGGTTTTAATTTGCTGCTTTAGGGTTTACAATGTGCAATCGTTACCTATCACAGTCTACCTTCAAATAATTTTATTCCATGTCACAGATACTGTTTTATCAGGACAGTTTCATCTCCTTCTCTTTTCTATGCTGTTGTTATCACATATTTTACTTTATTTTTTACTTGCGTTATGAGCCCCACAATATATTGTTATTGGTTTTTCTTTAAGCAGTCACTTTTTACATTATTTATTTTAATTGTGATAAAATACCCATAACATAAAATTAACAATTTTAACTTTTTTTATTTTTTATTTTTTGAGATGGAGTCTCGCTCTGTCGCCCAGGCTGGAGTGCAGTGGCGCGATCTCGGCTCACTGCAAGCTCCGACTCCCGCGTTCAAGCGATTCTCCTGCCTCAGCCTCCGGATTACAGGCACATGCCAGCACGCCTAGATAATTTTTGTGGGACAGAGTTTCATCATGTTGGCCAGGATGGTCTCCATCTCCTGACCACATGATCCACCTGCTTCAGCCTCCCAAAGTACTGGGATTACAGGCATGAGCCACCACGCCCAGCCTAATTTTAACTATTTTTAAGTGTACAATTCAGTGGCATCAAGTACATTCACATTATTGTGCTACCATCACCACCATTCATTTGCAGAACTCTTTATTTTGTACAACTGAAATTCTTTGCCTATTAAGCAATAACTACTCATTTCTCCTTCTCCCAGCTCCTGGCAACCAGCATTCTTGTCGCTGTGAATTTGACTCCTCTGGGTACCTCATATAAGTAGAATCATATAATATTTGTGACTAGCTTATTTCACTGAGCATAATGTTCTCACCGTTCCTTCGTGTTTTAGGGTATGTCAGAGTTTCCCTTCTTTTTAAAGCTGAATAAATTCCACTGTATGTTGATACCACATTCTGCTTGTCCGTTCATTGTTGACGGGCACTTTGGTGGCTCCTGCCTTTTGGCTGTTGCCTCTTAAATGCCTGCTTTCATGTACCCAGAAGTGGAATTGCTGGATCATATGATAATTCTGTGTTTTTGAAAAATTGTCATAGAGTTTTCCATAGTGGCCATATCATTTTACATTCCCACCAGCAATGCTCAAGGGCTCCAATTTGTCTAGCAATCATATTTGAAAGCAATTAAAACATGAGAAAAAAGTATTTTATATTCCCCCACATACTTACCATTTCAGATCTCTTCTTTCTTATAGATTTATGTTTCTATTTAGTATCATTTACTTTCTGTCATTTCTTGCAGTGACAAATTCTCTTAGTTTTGTTTGTCTGAATCTTTATTTTGCCTTTATTTTTGAAAGATTTTCCTCCTGGATATAAAATTTCTAGATTGACAGCCGCTTTTCTTTTACTACTTTAAATAAGTTACTCCATTATCTTCTAGCTTATTCTTATCTTTGTTAATCTCTACATAATTATTGATAACTTTTAAGATTGTTTTCCATTGACTGGATAATAATATGCCTTGATGTGATTTTCTTTGTATTTATCCTGCTTGGAGTTGGTTGGGCTTCTTGGATTTGTAGACTTATAATTTTTATGAAATTCAGAAAGTGTTCAGCCATTATATCTTCATTTTTTTTTCTGTTACATTCTCTTCTCTATTTTAGGAACTCCAAATATATGTATACTAACTAGACTACTTGATATTGTTTAAAGGCCTTGGAGGCTGTTCTTTTTTTCTCCCTGGTCTTTTTTCTTCTCTGTGCTTCAGCGTGGATAGTTTCTGTTGCTCTGTCTCCAAGTCACTGGTCTTTTCTTCTTCAGCATCTAATGGCTTTTAATTACGTCTGAGTAAGTTTTTATTTCAGAAATTATATTCTTCATCTCTTAAAGTTGCATTTAGCTTTTTAAAAATATATATCTTCTCTCTCTGTCTCTCTCTCTTTTTTTTTTTTCTTGAGACAGGGTCTTGTTTCTGTCCCCCAAGCTGGAACATAGTGGTGCTATCAGAGCTCACTGCAGCCTTGACCTCCGGGGCTCAAAAGATTCTCCTACCACACCCTCCCTTGTAGTTGGGACTATAGGCACACATCACCACGCCTGGCTAATTTTTAAACTTCTTTTAGTGACGGGTCTCTCCATATTGCTTAGGCTGGTCTCAAACTCCTGGCTTCAAACAATCCTCCTGCATCAGCCTCCCAAAGTGCTGGGATTATAGGCATGAGCCACCATCCTCGGCCTATTTTTTTCTTTTTTCTTTTTTTTAGGTGGGGATTTGCTCTGTCACCCAGGCTGGAGTACAGGGGCATGATCTTGGTTCACTGCACCCTCTACCTCCCAGGCTCAAGAGATTCTCCTGCCTCAGCCTCCTGAGTAGCTGGACCACAGGCATGTGCCACCATGCCCAGCTAATTTTTGTATTTTTGGTAGAGACTGGGTCTCGCCATGTTACCCAGGCTGGTCTCAAACTCCTGAGATCAGGCAGTACACCTGCCTCAGCCTTCCAAAGTGCTAGGATTATAGGCATGAACCACCATGCCTGCCTTGTGGCCTATTTTTTTCTATGTAAATATCCAGTTGTTTCAGTACCATTTGTTGAAAAGACTATCCTTTCCCCATTAAATTACGTTGGTACCTTTATTGAAAATTGGGTGAGTGTTACTGGATTCCATTCCTTTCCATTGATCTTTGTCTATTTTTACAATAATGCTATAGTGGCTTATGACATGAATTATGAAAGATCTAATGGATGATTCTGACATGTTATAAATATTTCATTTGACCTTATGATCTACTTTTGGAAAATGAATTTTGAAATACAGTGTTTTCACTAATAGGAATACAGTGTCATGTTATCTCATTTAACAGTTGAATGAAGAGATTTACTTTAAATGTACTTGTCTTACAGAGACCTTGTAATCAAAGTGAAGCTTGGAGAAAGTATTGAGGACTTACAGACCTGCCGACTCTTAATCAAACAGGACATTCCTGCAGGACTTTTTGTGGATCCATATGAGTTGGCTTCATTACGAGAGAGAAACATAACAGAGGTACAGTTATTAGGGGATTTTTTGGGAGAGAAATTAATTTAGGGGTGCTATAGTTTGGACTAAGGAAAAATAGCAGGTTTCCTTTTCATTTTCTTAAAGTGTGTAAAGTGACATTTTTAGAGATAGAATGGGCATAGTCTTTGTCAAGTGAGTGACTCTTGTCAGGAATAAGCCAACTAAACTGAGCTAGTTAAATGCTTTTTAGCAAGGTGGTTCACAGCTCAGTGACTAAGCAAATTATCTGTGTGTATGTGTATGTCTTGAGAAAATTAATGATTAATAAATAGTGCCTCAACAGTAACTTTGTTAATGAGAATGACATATACCCCAACATCTGGGTAAGTGTTGCATCATTGCATTCCAGCCTGGGCGTCAGAATGAGATTTTGTCTCAAAAAAAAAAAAAAAAAAAAAAAAAAAACTGAGGCACAACGAGGCCAAGTAACTTATCCAAAATCATATAGGTAAATGGAAGAGCCAATAAATGGATCCAGGATTGTCTGATTGCAATATTGTTGCCCTTGCTGGGCCTAAATCTTACCCCTTAGTTAGAAAAGTTTCCCTGACTTTGTTCTTTTTTTTTTTTTTTTGAGACAGAGTCTTGCTCTGTCGCCCAGGCTGGGGTGCAGTGGCAGGATCGCAGCTCACTGCAAGCTCCGCCTCCCAGGTTCACGCCATTCTCCTGCCTCAGCCTCCCGAGTAGCTGGGACTACAGGCGCCCGCCACCTCGCCCGGCTAGTTTTTTGTATTTTTTAGTAGAGACGGGGTTTCACCATCAAGCCAGGATGGTCTTGATCTCCTGACCTCGTGATCCGCCCGTCTCGGCCTCCCAAAGTGCTGGGATTACAGGCTTGAGCCACCGCGCCCGGCCTCCTTGACTTTGATAAGAATTCCTTGGGGGCACGTTTGTACAGATTATTGCCTTCCTGGGAAATCCTGATTTTTAGGTCTAGATTGGACCTGAAAATCTGGTTTGAAGAACCCAGATGATTTCTTGTTTTTTTTTTTTAATTATTGTGGGTACGTAGTAGGTATATGTAACCCAGGTGATTTCTGTTAAGAAATTTTGGGAGACACTGTCTTAGTTGATAAGATTATAATCTACTTATAATTTTTAAAACTGTAAAATAGATGCATCTATAGTTATTCATGATGGCAGTTTGTTTATTTCTAATCGTGGTTTAGGCCAGTTTCTTTACCCGTTTATTGTATTTTAATTTTTTTTGAATAAGTAATTGCATTCTCAAGGGTTCATTGAGTAGATATAGAAAGGTATGCAGTGATAGCATTCTACCTATGTCAACCCCAATCACCAGGTGTGTTCTCAGTTTTTTGTGTATGTATCACAGTTCACATACACATACAATGACGGAAGGACCTCATTTTTTAAAATTTAATTAATTTTTTTTTTTTTTTTTGAGATAGACTCTGTTGCCTAGGCTGGAGTGTATTGGCACAATCTCGGCTCACTGCAACCTCTGCCTCCCAGGTTCGAGTGCTCCTGCGTCAGCCTCCCAAGTAGCTAGGATTACAGGTGCATGCCACCATGCCCGGCTAATTTTTGTATTTTTAGTAGAGTGGGGGTTTCACCATGTTGGCCTGGCTGATCTCGATCTCCCGACCTCAGGTGATCCGCTTGCCTTGGCCTCCCAAAGTGCTGGGATTATAGGCGGGAGCCACCAGCCAGAAGGATCTCATTTATTTTTTTTCTTCAATGAATTATGAATTCTAAGTGAGGCTTTTCAAATTTAAAATAATGGATTTCAAATTTCAACACAGTTTTTGGCTTGTAAGGACATGGGTTGGAATCATATTTAAATCTACTTAATAAAATCACTTACCATGTTCTAAGAAAATGGAAGTTTTTTGGATGGGGATTACCCAAAAAGTCATACTTTTGGATAGGGATGAGATTTGGATGTTTGAAGGTTGACTGTTACAAGGGTACAGGTAGAGAGTGCCATTATAGATTGATTAACAAGTTTATCTTGATCTTGATTTTCTGCTTTCTAATCTTCTAATCCCTAATTGTAAGCCTTGTAAGTGTAGGTACTTCTTTATTTTGGAAACTTCTAGAAAAATAGATGTTACATTTGTGACATTTAAATATATGGAATATGATGCCTGACATATTAGATGCTGCTTGCTTCTGCCTAGTTGAGATTGTGGCCCAATTCCTTGTACAGAAAAACTTTGTTATGCTGAGTGTTATTATATAATAAGTGTAACTGGGTAGAAGGAACTTATATGTGGGGACTGACTGATGCTTGTATACCTGGATTAATGTCTTGACTCTGCTCCAGGAAATAAAATTTTTGGCTGCAGCAAGTGGAACTGTGGGCCCAAACTAAATGAGTGATGTGCCAGCAAAATGCTTTGTAAGGAGCTTGTGATGGTTTGTGAATAATTTGAAAATAAATGCAAGCCTTAAGTAGGTTCACCAAGGATAAGGCAGATCAAATAAACCTCATTTCACTTTTTTAGGTAGGGTTATTAAATGTATTTTTTCATCAAAATCTCTTAGATTCTTTGAAAACAGTATAATATTAGATTGAAACATATAAAATTGCTGTTTTATAGGTCAAAATGGAAACACTTTCTGAAACCGTAAGTTTTACTCAAAGTGTGTAGTATTAAGGCTTATGCTTAATAAGTGGACAAGTGGAGAACAGGTAACAGATTTAGTCTCTCACTTGAAACAAGCAAGAAATAAACAAAATATATGAAATAATGAGAAAAGTCATTGGCTATCAGGCAATGAAGGGCAGAGATATCCAAGAGAAGGGAAATAAGTAAGGTGAGCCCTACTGTCATCCAGCTTATTTCCTTGAGAATGTTTTCAGGCTTAATGCAGGGAAGAGAAACTCAAGCAGAGCCTAGTGGACTTTTTGAGTTGAGGAGATAAAGCTGAGATTCTGGGCAGACAGAGGTCACTAGAATTCGCAAGACAGTGTACCAGAGAGGAGAGAACTTCATGGACGCAGAACTCCAGAAATAACAGAAGGTTCCTTTCTAGTATGTAGCTGAGTATTTTTCAGTGTGTATATGTTAGGAAACTACCTGATGCCAGGGAAAGAACCATCTAACAAAATGAGCGGTAACAGTGTCTCTCTGTTGAGTAACTGCACTCACACAGGGACGGGAGTAGTGCCTCGTCCCGACAACCAAACTGAGAAAAGCCTTATAATTTCTTGAACAACGGATAAACAGAGAACTTTTACTCAGTAGCAGGGAATACTTAGCCGCAAACTGAACGTTGCTTTAGTCCTGCATAACAAATCTTAACAGCAAAACCTTAAAAAAAAATCAAACTGTTTCTAAGTAAACTACCTGCACTGCAAACAAAGCTCAAGAATATGTATAGGAGTACAGACATACCCAGCAAGATCAAATCAGCAATTTCTTAACTCTAATAAAAAATTAGCAGCTAAGCAAGGATGTGGGGGAAAAAAATGACCTATAATGAGGAGGTGAATCAATCAGTTAAAACCAATCCAGAATTGCCCCAGATGTTAGAATTAACAGGCCATAGACCGGGGTTGGTGGTTCACGCCTATAATCCCAGCACTTTGGGAGGCTGAGGCAGGTGGATCACTTGAGGTCAGGAGTTCGAGACCAGCCTGGCCAACATGGTGAAACCCCGTCTCTACGAAAAATACAAAAAATTAGCCAGGCGTGGTGGTGGGCACCACCAGCTACTCGGCGGCTGAGGCAGGAGAATCACTTGAATCCCTGAGGCGGAAGTTGCAATGAGTTGAGATCGCGCCATTGCACTCCAGCCTGGGCAACAAGAGCGAAACTACAACTCCGTCTAAAAAAAAAAAAGAATTAACAGGCCATTAAAACAGTTACTGTAACTGCATCCCATGTGTTCAGAATTTAACTGGAAACATGGAAGATATTTTTAAAAGTCAGCATTGAACTTCTAAAGATTAAGACTGCAGTGAGTGAGATGAAAAATACACTGAATGAGTTAGTGGCAGATCAAATATTGCAGAAGAAAAGATAAATGAACTTGAAGATACTGCAATAGAAACTACCAAAAATATAAAACAGATAAGAAACAAATTTACAAGGTGAGCAGAGCATTAATGAACTGTGTAACAACTAAGTGGCTTGCCCTACATGCCACTGGAGTCCCCAAAGGGTAAAGTGAGAGGCAGAGATGGGAAAAATATTTGAAGAAAAACTGACTGAAAACTTTCTGAATGTAATGAAAACTGTAAACTCAAATATGAAAGATGCTGAAGTACAAGAACATGAAGAAAACTATATAAAGGTACATGATAATCAAATAGCTTAAAACAATGATAAAGAAAATCTTTAAAGTAGTAAGAGAAAAAAAGATGTTACTCGCAGAGGAGCAAAGATGATAAGATGATGACAGTGGTAACTACAGGGTAAATATGTGAGACTTCCTATCTCTTTACAAGATAATAGACAAAAATAATAACAATGTAGCATAGCATTGATACCATATGTAAAAGTAAGATGTGTGACAGAAATATCACAGACGGCTGGGCTCAGTGACTCATTCATACCTGTAATCCAAGCATTTTGGGGGACCGAGGTAGGAAGCTTGCTTGAGGCCAAGGAGTTTGAACCAACCCAGGCAACGCAGTGAGAATCTCTACCAAAAACTTTAAAAATTAGTTAACTGTCAGGCGTGGTGGCTCACGCCTGTAATCCCAACACTTCAGGAGGCCAAGGCGGGAGGATCATGAGGTCAGGAGTTCGAGACCAGCCTGGCCAACATGGTGAAACCTCATCTCTACTAAAAATACAAAAAGTTAGCTGGGCGTGGTGGCGTGTGTCTATAGTCTCAGCTACTTGGGAGGCTGAGGTGTAAGGATTGCTTGAGCCTGGATGACTTCAGTAAGCCGTGATCACGCCAGTGCACTCCAGCCAGGGTGACAGAGTGAGACCTTGTCTTAAAAAAAGAAGAGGCTAGGTACGGTGGCTCATGCCTATTATCCCAGCTCTTTGGGAGGATAAGGCAGGAGAATCGCTTGAGCCCAGGAGATCAAGGCTGCAGTGCACCATGATTGTGCCACTGCACTCCAGCCTGGGTGACAGAGTGAGACTCTGTCTCAAAAAAATAAGATAGTAGTGCATATAAAGCATAGTGAGATAAGGCTGCCAAAAAGCTAATGCAAGTTTTGCCTAAAGAAGATAATACTGCTACTGTACTCTATGAGTATTTCAAAGGCAGCTAATATGAGGAATGATTTGGAAACCATGTCATGAGAACCCAGGAGAACTGTGAACATTTCCCTTGTCAGGAGAAGACTTCGTGGCGGCAGCTATGGTTGCCTTCTGATGATCGAAGGATCCCTAGTGGAATAAGGAATGGATTTATTGCAGACATTGTAAGCAAGAACAACTGATAAATGTTACAGGCTAGTACATAAAGTTTCTACTCATGAAAAAGAAATAACCTTATAACGGTAGATAGATCGAGATGACTCATAATAATGAGCTTCCTTCCAGTCACTGGAAGTACTCAAGCAGTGGCGGTATACCTGAACAATACCTTTGTTGGTACAGTGGTTTAATTTTATTACTTCTAAGGTCCCCGATGACTCATGAGATGATACAATTCCTTGACTTTTGCCAAGGAGTTCTGTTCCTGCTGTGATTAACTGAAAAGGAACAACATGAAAAGAAAACATAGCACTTGGTGTCACTGTCAGAGGACAGTTAGGATGCTTGATGTGATGGGAAGGAGTTAATGCTGTTTGTTTCTTTAAGTTATGCCCAGGTTTTGCATGGACAATCTGAAGAGAAGTTATGTGTGTGTGTACATCCATACATGTACACATAGGTCATGTGTATAATGCCTGTGTGTGTATGTGGATATATGTGTGTGTGTACATAAATATGTATGTATGCGTGGATATATATATGTGTGTAATAAATAAATATACATGTTATAACTCAGGCCTAATTTCTGCCATGTGTACACTTTCACTTTTGGTGAATACTATACTTTTCTATAAAATAGTTTTTACCATATTATTTTAAGAAATCATTTACTATTTTTTCCATTAACTTTTTATACCCTCTCTAGAAAGAGTGCTGGCCTTTGCTTTGACTTCCTGACCGCAGTGCTCATACTCACTGCCCTCACTTGCTTCTCTGAAGAACAGGAAATTGTCAGAATGATACCAGTCATTTTAACTCAATACAGGTTTTACCCTTTGTCATCGTTTTTGTGCTTATTGAATAATGCTATATTCACACAATTTCTCAGTTCTTAGGTACCTGTTTTGTCACCTAAACACAGACTAATAAGAAAATATTACAGGAATAATTTTTATTACGGGGAAATTTGGTACCCTAGAATATAATTCCCCCAGTTTATTTTTAGTAAGCAAACTTTTATTAACCATAAATTGTCTTCTGTTTCTCTCCTTAAAATTGAGGATGGAAGGGGAATGGAAATTTTTTGTAAAGGGGGCAAACTTGACACTGCTCTGTGTGTCTGAATACAGTCTTCCGGTTTTCACTTTTAAAAAATCTTCCTCATTCATTTCTTCTTGATTAATATTGATTTTCTTTTTGAACAGGCAGTGATGGTTTCAGAAAATTTTGATATAGAGGCCCCTAACTATTTGTCCAAGGAATCTGAAGTTCTCATTCATGCCAGACAAGATTCACAGTGCGATGACTGTTTTCAAGCCTTTTTGCCTGTGCACTACCGCTATCATCGGCCACACAGTCACGATGGAGAAACCTCGATTGTGGTCAATCACCCAGATTTGTTGATGTTTTGTGACCAAGGTGAGGGCTGCAGGTGTTTTCTAAGGGTCAGAAAATAAGAATAAAGGTATGGTGGCAAGTTCTCCTTCTGCTAGGGTGGCTGGCAAAGTTCTATTTCTTGACCTAAGTGGTAGTTAGAAGGGTATTTGCCTTATAATAATTCACTAAACTATGTATTTGAGTAGATTTTTATGTGTGTGCTTTATTTTACAATCAAAAAGTTAAAAAGAAACATGCCATCCCTGTCCTTGACACCGCCGCCCCAACTGTCGTCTCCTTCCCTCTACGACTAACCCACCATCCTGACTTTCAAATACTTCCTTAGGTTTCTTTATATGTTTATCATCCAGATGGGCATTCCAAGATACTATACCAAGACTAAGGTCTTGTCCATTTATAAAAATCTACTATTTCCCTCAAGTCTCTTAATTTACAGGTTTCTCTCTATCCCTTTCCTTTCTTCCAAACTGAACTGTTGAAAGAACCTGGGCCATTTGACCTGCAGAGTTGGTCGTAGCTGGGGTTTTGCTAATTGTACTCATGTTCCTCCTACTTCTTTACTTACTGGAAATTGGCAGCTGGCTCCAGAGGAATGATCAGATTCAGGTTTGATTCCTTTCACAAAACTATAGGTAGTGCTGTGTTCTCTTCTCAGTAGCCATTTAATCTTAGTAGGCATGTACATGTGTTTATTTTTGCAGCCTTTGGTCCACATTGCCCCTCTGTTGCTTTTTGTTTCTTCGTACCAGTCTTGCAGGACTCTGTGGCTTTTGATGTTTTGTTTCCACTTGCATGTATTTTGATGTTTGGGAAGATACTTTGTCACCTAGTTTTGTTGTAAATTTTGTCTGTGAGTTTTTTATTTTGCTGCATGATTGTTGTTTCTGTTTTTATGTGAGAATTTGGGTAAATTGAAAAATTAGCTGGGCGAGGTAGCTCACAATCCCAGCACTTTGGGAGGCTGAGGCGGGTGGATCAGAGGTCAGGAGTTTGAGACCTGCCTGACCAACATGGTGAAACCCCATCTCTACTAATCTCTACTAAAAATACAAAAAATTAGCTGGGCATGGTGGCAGGGGCCTATAATCCCAGCTACTTGGGAGGCTGAGGAAGGAAAATCACTTGAACCCAGGAGGCGGAGGTTGCAGTGAGCCAGGATCGCACCAGTGCACTCTAGCCTTTGCAGTCTTCTCAAGAACGTTTTCTTTCTTCCTTTTTTTTTTTTTTTTTTGAGAGGGGATTTCGCCCTTGTTGCCCAGGCTGGAGTGCAATGTCACAATCTTGGCTCACCACCATCTCCGCCTCTCCTGCCTCAGCCTCCTGAGTAGCTGGGACTACAGGTGTGTGCCACCACGCCCAGCTAATTTTTGTATTTTTGGTAGAGATGGGGTTTCACTGTGTTAGCCAGGCTGGTCTCGAACTCCTGACCTCGTGATCCGCCCACCTTGGCCTCCCAAAGTGTTGGGATTACAGGCGTGAGCCACCACGCCCGGCGAAGATGTTTTCTTTAGTGTAAGAAGTTCCTTTCAGTTTTTGGTTCTTTGTGTCTTCAAATTTGGGTTGATTTAGAATGTTTATAAAAGTTAGTAGCACTGAGGCTAGGTACAGTGTATCACACCTGTAATCCCAACACTTTGGGAGGCCGAGGCGGGCAGATCAGTTGAGGTCAGGAGTTCAAAACCAGCCTAGATAACATGGTGAAACCCCATCTCTACTAAAAATATAAAAATTAGCCAGGTGTTGTGGTGTGTGTCTGTAATCCCAGCTACTCGGGAGGCTGAGGCACAGGAATCGCTTGAACCCGGGAGGCAGAGGTTTCAGTGAGCTGAGATCGTGTCACTGCACTCCAGCCTGGGAGACAGAGCAAGACTGTCTCAAAAAAAAAAAAAAAAGGTTAATAGCACTGTTACTAAAAACCGACAGATGGGAGGTTTTTAATGCTACATTTGTTACCATCGTACCTTTCATGTTGAGAAAATTTAAAAGTGTTCAGTTATATTAGCTTTGTTCATCCAACCTTGTTTTCTGTTTCCATTAAAGGTATCTCTTAGCATAAATAAAGTTTGGAAAAGTTCCTCTCCTGAGAGAACTGGATTCTGGTATTCTGTCTTTTTATCTGAATGCTCTTTTATGGGTGTGTTTCATATGGAAATTTATCGAGTTTTGCACTTACAATATGTTTACTTTTCTGAGTGATGCTTCAAAAAGAAGTTTACATTATTTTTAAGAGCATATTTTTAATAACATAATTTTTAAGAGCAGCCCCAAATTTGAGTACAATGAAGATTCATTAAGAAGTCATGTTCGGCCGGGCATGGTGGCTCAC